CCCATACTATTCATGTTTAATATAAATTATTGATATTCTTTGATTAGTGTCAGATAAAAGCAAAAAAATAAAAACATTGAACTAATCATTAGTTAGGTTTTATGTTTGACATATATAGAAAAAGATTTAATCTGATGTCATATATGTAGTTATTCTTTTATTTTGTGCATACTTCACGCTTGTTACTACTTCCAAACAACATTGTTCACTTTGATATTATTATTCAAATTTCAAAGAATAATACTCAAAATGTCTAATATATCCTTGTGAAATTTAGTATTGACTTTCGATAAAGTTTGATCAAACACGAGAAAGTTAGAAAAGAAAAATTTGCCTTTCAGCTCTCTTATGGTATGTACTTCTACTTGTAGACAGTTTCATTAAAATGACATCTCGTCTAACGTAAGACTACAAAAAGCTGTAGCTCTAGGTAGAAAGTCAGACTGACTTAGAGCTCTTTCATTCGATTGCTTGAACTCGTTATACATACTAGCAAATTACATACTAATTAGTCACAAGTGCCAATGTATGCCTTTATGTAGTTAGCGTGCTACTTGGTCAGTAATCTGAGACAAACAGCTCTTCCTGACTTGATGCTACACAACGTGACCATTCAACTATATCGATTGGATGACACTGATGTATTAAAATATATGTTTTCAATTATTTTTGTTTGCTGTAGAGTCTTCAATAAAAGCAGTAGAAGTTTTTTTTTTCTTATAGCTGTAACTGTTCACGTTCGTCGAACAATTCATAATTTTAACTTGTTTCCGTCAAATAATAAAGAAGATCCTGAGGAAGAACGTATTGGTACCATCGCTACTCGTTTTTACATTATCTTAATAATTATCGGTCTTATAATTCTTGGTTTCTATACATCTTTATTAAAACATAGTCAAACACTTACTGTTAAAAAACCTTCACTTTCGAAATTTGAAGAATTACATTCAATGTATGCATCAACATTAAATTGTCCATGTTCACGGTTTTCTATGTCACATAGTCGAATAATGTCTCTTAGACCTCGTTACCATTCAATATGTTCAAGTGAATTTATTGAAGATTATTGGTTAGCTTACTTTGCTGATGTAGAAAAAGATGTTCACGCTGTTGAACTTGTATCATCTGATTTTCGAGTTATTGGTCAAGTATTTTTTGAATTAATGCGTACATTATGTGATACATCAAATGAAACAATTGAAAATGCGTTAAAAGTATTTGGATCGAATCGATTAGTTACCATGTATGTCTTATCACGTACACAATTTAATATTGAAACGATGACACGTTTAAAACGATTTGAACAACAAACAATAAGTTCTCTTCTCAATCTAATTCAATTAATATGCTCATCAATTAAAACCAATCAAATAGTTGAAGGAATGTTTACAAATGCAGGACCTAAATCAAAATATGATAACGAAACATCAAAATGGTCATTTTCTTACGGACCGAGAAATTATTATACAAATTCATGTTCATGTGCTGTATCTGATGAATGTAGTCGTCCAGTTGGTTTTCATTTTCAAAACAGTACAAGTGTTGATACACCTAATATAACTATACCCGGTTTATTTTTTGGTTGTTATGCAATTGATTTCGTTCTTTTATCTACATTAGAATGTTTATATGAGAAAAATTGTGTCAAACTTCTTGTTGATAACTACTATTTTGATGTTGTTGGTTTATTTAAACCACTGAACAGTCGTGCTGTTCAAATACAACCACTTCCACATGGAAATAGTCGTTTTTATCCAAATACGACAATAAATGAAATTGTCTCGGAAGCATTTGTAGAAGATTGGATTAACTCAACTAATTATACGTCATATTATGAACGATGCGCACCTTCACAATGCACTTATACTATACAGAAACGTTTGAATATTGATATGTTAGCTAAACTGCTTGGATATTATGGAGGATTAAGTGTAATTTTAGAAATAATCTTACCAGCACTTGTTAGAATAGTTTTACAACAATGGTCGAAACGCAAACAAGAAACAAAACCAATTGCTATTCCTAACGAACTTACAATGGGTAAGATAATGATTATTATTTTATTCCGTTCAACAGAAATAATACATCGGTAAGTTCCTATGAATAAAAGATTCTTAGGAAAAGACGTATATTAATTAAACTTCAATAGAAACTTCGAAGAAATGATTCAAAGACGTGGTTGCATAAACCTTTGAATGGCAAAAATTAGGTATTCTAAGGAATATGAACTCTTTCAAAGGCTAAAATATTTCTTATTTATTTTAATAGGAGATATCTTTTGTGCTTGGAGAGTAATAAATCTAAAATTACTCATTTTCGTAGAAAAACCTGTCTAATACTTTAACATCTTAAAGAAATCGCTCGGAAATATTGACCCACTTGAACGTACTGAAAAGCAATGAATCTTCCTTTGAGTAGAGTACAGTTATTATTGATCATATGAGATCTTTTGTGAAGACGAACTTTGTAAATTAGAAAATATTTCATTCTATTTATTTAATAATTTAAAAGAAGTTTTTCATGTGACGAAAATCGACAGTTTTACCGCTCCGGTTACCAACTCCCATTACTGTGGTCACCGGTACTTTTGTGCAATTGACCAGCACCATTTAATTTCTCACTACACTGATATATATATATTTGGGCTGGATAGTTATTTTTTAACTAATGTAAGTTTTATTTCAACAAATAATAAAATATTAAAAAATTCAATATAAAATTGCTACTTTC